CCCAAATGTGGTCACGTCTCTGTCCAACAAAGAACAAGATGGCGGTTGTCTCAAATTGAAATATCCCACGAGTAACCAGTTCTGTGCCATGTTCGAATGCCACGCCTACCCCATCTCAGGGATAAGGAGTATTTAAATCTGATAAATGCGACAGTGAGGAGTGCGACAGAAGACAATCAGTTGCCTTCTGCTAGGCGTTTTACGGACCAGCTTTCAACTTCTGGCTTGATTTCTGATCAGTGAAACTTCTGTTTGGCTTGGAGCTTGTTGTTCTGCTTCTGATCTTGCCCCTGTTAATGTTAAGGTGTCATTCTTACGAGGGATCAAGTATCTACAAGCATCGTCGGTTCGCACCAGCACCATCAAAGAACGATTGGTGTGATGTCCGTGGGAGAGGAACTGCCGTTCCAGACTACTACCCCCTCTTTCGCATGCTGCTTGTAGTCCTCAATAAAACCGCCTCTCAGGATAATACAAGATAATCAATGTAAGTGCTAATGATATGATACTCTGTGATAATGTACAAACCCCATATTTAAGATTGACCAGTTTGGTGATACCTCATTCCATTTCAGCTGCAGCTCAGCTTTCAACTTCGTCTATTACCTTCGACATCAACCGCTTGCAAAGTAGCTCTCATCGTTCGTAAGTTCGCCACAGAGTGAAGGTGTGTGTTGGGGGCACTCAAAGCCCTGAAACCTGAGGCATGTGGATTGCTCTTCAAAATCTTTTGTAGGGGTGGTGGTAACGTCAAGTGTGTGGGAGGACGTAACCCTTACAACTCCTACAGAACTTACTTGCCTTATATTGTTAAGCCTGTTGGAAGGCAGTGCTACAGATCTCTCTGTTGCTCAAAACATCAGTGAGTTATCCCAGAAATCAGTCACTGTTTCTGAAGGGGTGGGAACTCCCAGGGCGGTTCCTACAACCAGTTATTAGTGATTTTCAGATCGTCGAAGCTATGAATCTTAGTGTGTTGCTCCTCCTCCTGGTTTCGAGCACTTTTACCGTCTCCTATGCCTTTTCATTTACACCTTTGTGCAAATTGTGCACGCACGTTGTTCAAGACGTTCAGACTGTGGTCAAAGCAGGACAAAGCCTTGAAACGGTTGTTACTCTTGCATTTTCCTTTGTTCGTATCTCTAAAAGCCTTGAAAGAAAAGTGGTGTCAAAAAACCATAACGTTGTTAAAAAGCCGCTCAACGTATTGTAGCGGTCGGAGAACAGTCTTTGTCAAGCTACTCCATGATGTGGCTTGATGGGTATGTGGCAAGAGAATCGTAATTCGCCGCGCCAGTGGGCGTCGCGTGCGACGTCGCGCCCGCTAATGACGACGATTTTAGGTGGTATTGGTCGAGAATAGACAATGTATGACCAAAAATAGACATAAGTGTCTACCATGTCCTTGTCTACATGAAATCCGAGCTCCAATCGAAAGGGTAGTGCAACCTAAAAGACCGTCGGCCGATTGCTGCGCGCGACAAAGCGGCAATTCACGGTTCTCTTGCCGTCTCCCAGCTCGGATATCGCCTGTCGCTATCGCTTCGAGACAGTAGACAGTAGACACCGGCCGCTAGTGTTTTGGGAGAGTGCAGAAAAACAGATACCGGACCATAAATTCGGGTAGTGCATACTCTAATATTCTGTCCAATCGCTCGGACCAGTAGCGCCAGCGTAGATCGACACCCGTCTATGGCGTCTATAGCACGGGAGTGCGGTAGGTAGCGCGTCGACGCGCGCCATCGCGAAGTCTGAACGCTGCCTCAAAGCTACGCTACGCGTTCATTTGGGGTGCAGACTCCGTCCCTGGGTAAGGTAGGCCTTTCCGCAACCAAGCAAGACTCAAGAATACGTGACAACGACGCTATTGAATTTCGGGGAAGGCTGTGCCATTCCCTTATCCGCACCCAACGCTCATTTCTTAGGGCTTGCTAGTGGTGCAGTTGGTTCGCTACAAACTGCACTCCGCATGGTGAGGGTGATTCGATGAGGGAAAAGAGCTGATACCAACAAATGAATGCTCCTCCAGGCACGCGCTCCTTTCGCTTTACGCTCCTACCAGCTCGGATCGGTACAGAGCCTTATAAAGAGTATTCCGAGGGCTTCTTCCTCCTCTACACTACTGAATTGCCTTCCACTTCTCCATTTGATTGTGGGGCCCCAGCATTAGACTGAATAGGAAAGAATGAAGTACTGCCTGATGATTTGGGTGGACCCTAAACTGTTGGTGATACTAATACTTGCTTCCGGCTGATTCCCTCATTCTATTTCTCATCGATGGCGGAGGTGGTGTAGTGACAAGTGGCGCGCTTACCACTCGCGCGGTCCTGGGTTCAAATCCCGGTCGACTCCCGCCCAGGCCAACCAAGCCTTCTACCCTCCGGGGACGGTAACCAGATTCGTCTGGGAGGATAAGAACACTGACTTGTACATCGGCTGGCCCCCGCAAGTCATTGTATAGGCCACATCGCATTCAATAAGCCACTACGATTCTGAATGGAAGTAGAATGCGTGCCGCATCTCACAAAGGGATTGATCAACATTGATCGACATCATCCTATATTTCTTATCGATACAATTTTGCAAGACTTTTTTGCAACCTTCCCTTTCAGGCTATCCGAGAGAAGTGTGATCAAAACGCTCCGAAAGTCTTGCTCTCAGCTTGCCAGAAACTCATCAAAGGCCTCAGACTGCTTGATGGCGAAAAAATAGTCGGTTCTAATGAAACTGAATTTGACAGCTTTGTGGCAGCATTTTTCACAACAAATTTCAGAGGAAGCCGCCTGACGAGATTTGTTCCACAGTTTGTCTGAAGTCGTCTGAAGAATCCGATTCTGACGATGATGATGACGAAACGATTTTTTATAAGGGAGGATGGCATAACGCTTGAATTGTGCAATAAATGTTTTCTTTTGTTAGTGGTGAAGAGGAAGGCTGTTCCTTACAATTTGTGGTAACAGCAATGAAGGCTGCGTTCATAGTTAGGGGTAGGGTCCCCAATCGACCACTAGTGCGTCAGGGGCTAGGAAAGTGTAGATGTCCATCCAGCGTCTACTAGCGTCCAGCAGCGTCTATCAGTGATCAACGTCCGCTAGCGACCAGCAGGTTCGGAAAAGGGGAGTATGAGGAGATAGGAGGGTAGCAGTCAGCTGGTACCTTTTCTATCGCCACGCTCTACCATCTCTGCTATCCTATCTCCCCATACTCTTCTAGCTTCTGCTACCCTCCTCTCTCCCTATACTCTGCCAGCCGCCTGCTATTCTCCTATCGCGCTCTCCCCCACCCCCTCTCTCCACTCCCAGATGATGCCGGTCGTTGTGGAGGCTAGTAGACGGTGCTTGTCGCCAAATTGAATACCTATACTCCTCTAAGCCTCGGGGACGCTTGCTTGATTGCTGGTGGACGCTAAGAGATGCTGGTAGATGGTGGCAGACGCTAGATCGATATGTATACTTCCCTTGTCGCCAAAGCTACTGATGCTTGGAATGGCGGTTGGACTCGTAGGTCGCTGGTGGACGCCATCGCAAGGTATGAACACAGCCTAACTTACGCATTGCGCATAGTGCGGCGAATTTTCGATACGCTCTAGTTCGCTGCGGACGGTTGGGCGTGTCAGGCAGTATGAGTGTGTCACCCCGTCAAGCCCGTTCTCTGCCTTCTTGTTGAAGCGCGCATGCGACAAAAGTGGTAGAAAACGAGTAATACGAGCGATATGATATTCAATATACTCTCTAAACAATTGGTGGAGAATGGGTTCGGCACCGTGCCAAACTCATTCCGCCTGACACGCCCAACCGTCCGCAGCGAACTACAGATGGGGCCAACAAAAGTCACTTCGGCCGAGTCACATATCAGCAAAGTTTTCGCAGCCCAGACAGAGGACGTGGATACGAGTACCAGGGCGGAAGATACCCAAGATGTTCCTCGATAAGCAGGAAAGTCGGCTTTCTCCCATCACCTTACATGTGCACCAAAATTTGGAAAGATCATCCCAACTCACAGCCGGCACTGGAGTAGGGCCTCTGGAATGTGGTCCATGTCACCTCCAAACAGCTGCGAGCTTCTTTAATGGGTCACCTACAATAGCTAACCTGGAGACCAAGTTACATATCTGGAAGACTCAACGTCGAGCAGCTGCCGACATCGTCGCTATGGTCGAGGGTATCATCTTCACCGCAGTCGCCAAGGCACGGTGTTGATGGTATGGACCGGAGGTTCCTGGAATGGGAAGAGCGAATTTTTTTTGTGGAGAAGGCAATGAGTGAACGCTGGACTATTACATCGACCAGCTCGAGGAAAATATCTTATCTATCATGTCATCGCCCTGTACCATTCTTGGAAACTTTTGTACTGCCTACAGAGGTCGGGTACCTCACATGGAATCGAAGGACGTTGGAAAAACTTTCGCCTACTTGTACTTGGAATGGAGGACGTTGAGTACCTGAAGAAGACGGAATATCCAAGTGTGTCACCTGACCTAAGCCCCTTCAATTACTCGAAGCTCAACAGGGTGGTCTACAGTGGGGGAGAAATCAACAAATCTCGCTTCAGGTTCCGAATCACAGGTGGGTGGCGTGGAAGAATCTCTCATGGGATAAACATACAATATGCCTGTTGAATATGTGTTGAAAGTCCATCAGAATTTTAATCAAGCGTAACTTATACCCTGAAATTCAAGGAAGAAAAGTGACTTTTTACCCTCCCCCCTCCACAGTATATGTGTCGGATGGTAGATGGGAGCAGCGAGACCCGTACGGATCCACGTGTGACTTGTCCAAACGTTGGGGAAAAACAACAACAAATAGAACAACAACATCTTTCTCAGAGCTTGGTGAGCACTGCTAAGTTTGCTTGTCATAGTGTATTGTTACTATTTCGTTGGCGATATGCCGTCAGATGGCACGTCGTAGAATGTGCCAACAGCGTGGCATGTGCCTCAGAAATTCGCACTGCGCTCAACCTAGAGCTAAAGACACGTTCCACGTGCAACTGGTGTACAGACGCCGTCGCTAGACAAGGTAGGACATTTGGCAAGCATAGAAAATGTATCACTATGACGGCTCAAGGCCAAGTGATCACTAGTTCACCTGATCGCGATGAAGGCAGTGTGCGCGGCCCACAGCATCATACCTTTGAAGAAAATATACATTCATTCTGGGAAACAAAAAATTTATTCCTGGGAAACAAAATATTCATTCTTCATCATCTTCATCATCATCAGATCCTCCACAAACATGTAGCGTCTCGCAAAGCTCTTCGGGATCCTGTTTCTGAAACATTTTTGAGAATTACGAACATCGATGTTGTTGGACTCGTTCTGTGTTGAAACCAGGAATAAGAGATCATCCCAAAACAATTTTGAAACCGACCTTCAATTTGTCGCCTAACTTTGTAAGACCGTGGAGAAACTTTTGGCAAGTGCGAACCATGAACTTCGGTGTGTTTTCTTCACACTTCTCTCTGATAGCCTAGAACTAGTTTTTTTTTGGAAAAACCGTCCAGATCTCCCCGAAGAAAACAGGTAGGGAATGGGGGAAGAGGTGCCTACGTAGGTTTTTACTTTAGACCGCTACTACGAAGAAATGAGATCCAACCTATAACCCAACAGCTGAGGAACATGGCGACACACTTCGCGATTACTAATAAGTGGGAACGTTTAGAAGTGAGGATCGTTAAACGCGCGTTGCCCGCTGTGGCCATCTAGCGCTGCGCTCGTCGATCTCCCCGCTTGCACTTGCGTATAGTCTGTTCATCAAGTGCATGTTCCCTCATTGCTCCTTGTCTGGTCTCTCCAACGAATCCTTACCCATCACTTGAAAGCAACTAGAACAAGGAGGGGCTTCTTTAAAGCGCGATTCCCTCACTATTTTCCTTTACGGGCACGTCTACTAATACGTACACTTCCGTATTTTACTGTGCTACCTACAACTTAAAAGGGCCTCGAAGGGTATGTGCTTTTGCAGCCTTGAGAGCTCCACACAACACAACGATCAAAAAGTTTTGATAGGGTTTTTTGAAAGTTCCAGAACTTTCGATTCTTGATCGATACCAATGATCTACCATGTGGTAGTGGTAGAACATTCTAGAACCTTCTCCGTAATGGGTATATATAGGCGCGCTTCCTCCTTTAGCTTAAATCACGATGTCAATTCCACGAGACCATGTTCGATACATCATCTTCTACGAGTGGCGCCGCGGCACCGGAGCGACGGCAACCGTTCGCAACATCAACAGCGTATGGGGGAGGACACCACTTCCATCGCTACGGTCCATCGCTGGTTCGCTCGCTTCAAGGAAGGAGACACGGACTTCGAAGACAAGCCTCGGTCGGGACGCCCCCTCGCCGTCGACGACTCCGTCATTCTCGACGCCGTCAAAGAGGATCCGGAAGTTAACACCCGCAGTCTTGCGACGAGACTTGGGTGTGCCCAATCAACAGTCGTCGGTCGCCTTCAGGCCCTCGGTTACAGAAAAGTGCTGACTCGATGGATCTTGACCGATAGCATGCGGTACACCCGGGGTATCCATTTGTCAGTCTCTCCTTCTCCGCCCACATCGCAAGGAGTTTCTGGAGGACCTAGTTACTGGAGATGAAAGCTGGATCCTCTACGACGCTAACAAGCACCGCGCCGTCTGGCTCCCGCGAGGAGAACAGCCGCCGACGCAAGCCAAATCCGACCT